CTTACTTACAACCATTTACCATTTTATATTTATACCTTGCTTATATTTACTCATCCGTTTATTTTAAATATTTTGGACCACATATAATGCTCTTGTAAAATCACCTATTTTTCTCCTTCATCAAAATCACCCAAATTGTCGCTGTTTCTACAGTCAATTACTACATAATACACTCCTTCAAGTTAGATAAACTATAACATTTCTACAATTATTATTGATCTGGTTGCCGAGAGATCGTAGCTGAGGCGAGAGTATAGATAGGTAAACTGCAGTTCATAGAATGAAATATTTTCTATCCAGACTAGGCGCAGATTAGGATAATGCTCCGCCGGGGGAGCGGGGTGGAAGAGGACCGCTAGAGACCGCCCCGCCGAAGAGACAAAGGAGCAAATGACCATTGTTGGCTGTCGGTTTTCCGGCTGTAGTTTCCTGCCTAACGTCGGCTAAATATTATTTTCCCAACTTCCTGAACCCATTTGTTGACCTCGCTCAAGGATTCCATCAGTTACACAACTAGCGACATATCCCGGCCTCAACAGATACTATGTTGGGCTAAACAAAGAACTCTAGGGCACTGTACAGATTGAATTCAATTTCCATATAATCATTTCAGCTAAGTGATCTAAAGGTTACAGTAAAATATATCTCAAGATATGTTTCCATTTAGTTATGCTAATAGTAGGCAGTGAACTGTGTAAAGATTTGTGTTCTTTTCTGAACATGGAAAGGATTACAATAGAGTCATGACGTATGTATGCACATTCATAACTGTCCATTTTATCATACTTTTCTATGTTTCCAGCTCTGTATTTAGTATCTTACCTTAACTGTTGTATATAAATTCCAAGAATTCCTATTTTATTCTATACCATACATATTTACTTTGCAAATATACGATAATTTGTTTAATTTAATATGACTATAAACTTGATATCATAAATCGCAGCTGGAACATAAGCCCTAACTAAAAAAGCACTTACCCAGACCTAATCGTGTATAGACGCAGCGGCCATTACGGCGATTACTACCAATAATTTAAGTGATCATCACATTTTTGTAAATCAAAAAACTTCCTTAAAAAGTCGTGCCAGCCTTCCACGTCAAGAGGTTAACTTCTATCGAAGGTTAATTATTACCAATCATCGTCCCCTCTATGGTATTTTTCCTATCACCTAAAGTAATAAATATGAAACTGGTACCGAAATTTTTTAAAAATAGTGGCAGTATATTTTAAAACCAACTAGACCATGGATTACAAGTTTTTTCTACCGAATTGGATAAAGATCATTATTTGAGAATCGATCAAAAAATATTTGCGTATGGGTAGTGCCCATGATGGGTAGCACCGTTGGGTACGGTATTTATTAAGAATTGGTCCATTACTATCAAGTTTGCAAAAAATGCTGCTACCTACTACAGTCCGATATATTAAAATTTAAAATACATTTCTCTCTTATGACAAATGTATGCAGTAGGTCTTTTAGTTAAGATTTCGGCAAAATCTTATGTTTCACGTATTAAAAAAATATTTAAGTTGTGAATTGCTAAGTCATTGTAACATAATTAATCAAGTCACTATTCACAGTTTCTTAACCGGTCGGAAGTAACCTAGAGCAACGTTATAATTAAATGGTACTGCCTGAAGTGTCATTAATGAGCAGTACAGGGCAGAAATAAACGAATAGACATCACATTGATAGCTTGGCGACACCATACATCCCCTTTGAACCCAGCTTACGAGAAAGTAGCTGGACAAAGCATCTTTCTCTCATTATTATTCTCAAACAATGGGCGCATTGTACATCTCTCGCTTACATCATATTTTTTTTAATATTTTCACCTCCTTAACAACCAAACATCAATCACAGAAGGAAATCGATGTACGAAGATCAGTACATTATCTGCAATAAAAGGCTCAATAGGTGCCGCTTTCTCGAAACCAAATCGTTGAGGTCGATTAATTATAAATTTCATACGATTTTGTTTAACATTAACTTCTTATATGATGAATGATTTTGTTGATACGTTAACTTCTGCGTGGCTACTTTTACAAAATGATTATCGAAATGTTAGCAGCAATTTTATATTTAATTTCTAATTTATTTATTTTAAGCCAACTTACACTAATGTTTTCACTACAAAATCTTACTACGACGTTTCGGCTCGTCGAGCCATTTTCAAGTCTATCATGTACTTGTCCATTATACTTCTCATGTGAAATACATGTGTCTTCTATTTTAAATTTATTATGTGTCAAGCCACATGTTGTCACTTTCATTGCTATTGAGGAGGTACTGGTTATTATGAGAACAAACAATTATTTCACATGAGAAGTATAATGGACAAGGACATGACAGACTTGAAAATGAAGCCGAAACGTCGTAATAAGATTTTGTAGTGAAAACATTGGTGTAAGTTGCCTTAAAATAAATAAATTAGAAACTAAATATTATACACCGAAATAGATGAAAAGAATGTTAAGAATTTATATTTAATTTTTTTTAACCAGAGCAAGTATCCTTCAGAAATACTACAAGACAAAAAAAAAATTATTGTCTTCTTATTCGATACGGATTTATTGTGACTTACTCACTTGTTGTAAGTAGAAGCGAATGTTTATTCTTCCGAAAGATTTTGAATGACATCAACTATTGTTTGCAAAAGCGTTATATACCCATTAGCGCACGGTGGGACTCTTTGACATCATGGCAGCATGTGCAATGGACAATATTTCGCTTCCGTTCGGTATTGCACAACATTCAATGAGGGTGTATACAAGGAATCAGGTGAATGCCTGGCAAGTTGCAACACTTCTTCGGCAACAGTCCACAACGGACGATAGTTGAAGCAGTGGGCGCGTTGAGATCCTATCTCCAGCTATAATTCTGTATCTTGTCAGGCGTACCTTTATCGATTGCTGGGTATCTGGACCTGTCGGTAATCTCTGGTTTAATAATTCCTAATACGATCACCAGGAAGTCAAATTTAATTCTATATGCATTGAACAATCAAGTCCTTTGATTTAATCTAAAATATTTTTGAATTAAATGGAACGGATAAAACGAATTATCTTGTAATGAATATTGCGGTGGTGAAGAGAACCCGCAGAGTGTGGGTTGCGAAACCGAATGACGGTCACGAGACGTAGTCGGCTGCGTTTGTCTTCATCAGGCAAGAATAGGCGAAGCCATCATTAACAGTTCCTTCCTCCTTCATTCGCAAAGGAGCAGGCACGTGTTCTCTTATACGCATACGACAAAGGGAAGTGATTATCCATTGGAATAACTTGCACGAACTTCGTGCTCATCTATCGCTTGACCTTTTCAGACTTCGATATTTATGATCTAATACGTTTAATTTGTTCACTATAGTAAAACTAATATCCAATAAAAATAATTTCATTTTTTATTCACACTTTATTTAACTTGGCTGTGGTTTCTCTTGTACTAAAGGGAAACCTTAAGGATCAATAAATTAAATATTATAACAATTTGTAGCCTTACTTCATAGAGGATTTTAATAGTTAGTAATATATAATGCAGATTATTACAATACCTTTATTAAATAATAAAATTTTAGCTTAGTGATCAACTCGGTTGTAATAATTATAAAGTTAATCCTGCATTACATTAGGTGTATGTTAACTTTTGTTATTTCAGTGATTTCTGTTCTTAAGTTCTCAGCAAGGATTAGAAACGATCAGTAACTAATAATTCCTAATTAAAACAAGTGTGCTTCATGGACAGCCATAAGTCGATATCTTAGAGTTCCTCGTGAAGAACGTGGTCTGCTGGTGATCCGACCGCTTCCAGAATCACTCTGCGAATCCCGCCCACCGCTAGCTAGTTCTTGGCGGGAAAAGTAGGGCGGTCAGACGGGTTGTTTCACGTGAAATCTTCACATATGATAATAATCAAGGGGGGACAAACTGGAACAAGGGTGTGTGTTTTTTTCTCTTTTTCTTTTTTCGTTTCTCCACTCTTTAGGCTTGAGGGAAAGCTTGCCGCAGGACGCATTGTAATTAAATTGGGTTATTGCTTCATATTTTGAACTGAAAGAAGGTAAAAAGGTGAAAATTAATACAAACAACGCCCGTTTATAACGACTGTAAAGTACAATAAACTGATATTTCTTTTCAATTTTCCATTTGGTTGTATTTATAAAGTATAAAGTATAAAGATAACCCAAGAATTAGTGAGGATAAGAGATCGACGTTTTGTTAGATAAATTTAAACAAGAAAACATTGATTCATAAAACATGTGTATATATGTGGTTGTATAGCGGTAAATTAAAATTAAAAAACAACAAAAGGGATTTAGGCTAAAGAATCTTTGCTCGTAAACATTATCAATTAGCTGATAGTTTAAAAGTTTGGTAAATATTATTGAATAAACGCTGTAAATTAAGACTCGATAAAGCTAATTTTAGATAAGAAAATAATTTTATAATCAATTATTTATTTTTTAAGGTTATTAATTATAATTATAAATAATAATACCATTGTCGTAATCCTAAGAAATACAAGAGATGAATAGAAAATATTTTTATATCCATTATTTATGCAGTGAAAAACAGATCTCCATCACTTTTGGCAAGTCACCACCGAGTTGGCTGCGCCATAGAACAGAACTCATTCATAATTAATTTCAGAATTAATTATTCACATCTCTCCAGTTTGATTTTTCTCATTGTAATAATAAACAGGATAATAACTAATGGACTGTATGAATATGAATATTGGAGTCTGGGTATATTGGATTCACCTAACTTGCCTATTGAAAATCTGATTCAACGGGGCTGTATACTATATTTTTATTCATATCAAAGGCGTTAATAACGAAAAAGCTAAACGCAAGATCAGCCGAACCTGTATATATAGAGGAAAATCGTTTCAGATGGTTTGGTCATGTCCCTCGAATGCCAGAGAACCGAGTGGCCAGATTGCGTTGGAAAATAAAGTTGAGGGAAGAAGATTGAGATCTCTGAGAGAAGGCCTAGGATGACATGGGAGGTCAGTGTCAAGGAAGCCTTTGACAGAAGGGATATTGACTGGAGGAGGAGGTGGCAGTTGGCTCAGGATCGAGAGTGGATTCAGCTCTACAAGAAGACTGCTCACACCGCTCGGTGGTAGAAGAGGAAACGGTTAAGAACAAGAGCAATGGCCTAAGTTATTAAATTGTAAGAAAATTAAATTTATTTTTCTAACTTTCGATAGTTAGAGGTGCTGCTGGGTTCCATTCTTCGTCATGCCTATCATGCCATTTTCTACATGACCACCAATCTGCTAATTGTCACTACCATGACAGGTGCGGATGAAAAATTGAAGACAAAAAAAAAAACTTTCGATAGTTGGATTAGACATTCGTATGGAATGCTTTTGGAGACTTCATCGTCATAAAAAGTAATAGACCTTCGAGTTCATTAAGCCTTTATATTATTATTAAAAAATTACATTACCAAATAATCTTTTGAAATATTTTTGTTACTGCAACGAAACTGACGTAACATCAGGACATCTGTTAATTTGAGAATTATGCTTCACAGAAGAGTATAAAAGATTTTTAATGGGAAATTTCAAACAATTTACTGGTAATAACACCATACTATAATATGCGGTCACAATATGATCATATTATTAATTAAAAAAAGTCATAATATTCAAATTGTTACAATTATCCTTATAATCTCTGAAACTGGAACCGGTAAAGATATTAAATAAAATAAAAAAATAATCCGTCCTTCCACTTTCGTTAAAATGACCTTGGCTTTCTTCTTGGTGATTATTATTAATTTGATACGAAATCGTTCCTATAATCACCATAAATAAATCAAAACGTTTTAATTTTTTTTTCTTAAGAACAGATTTAGTTTGCTTGATGAAAAAAGGAAATAAAATTATGATTTTGAAAATAAAAAATGTAAATTGTTGTCGGTTTTATTTAAAAAAAAATAAATTTCTTATTTTATTTATAATTATAAGCAAACCACTTACTGTTTTAGAAACATGCCAAAATCATAAAACCACAGTTAGATCTAAAACTAATACGATTGTTCCTTTAATGCCTGTGTTACTAATATTAGGTTTAATAAAGAGTGCCTTAAAAAATTATGATCCCAAATATGCTTCTCTCGCTTAGAATCCTGATTTTTTTTTTGTTACTGTTGTACATTTTAAGCCTACATTTTTTTGATATGTAACTAGTTTGGATTAATACCGAAACAATCCTAAAAATTACAAATGTTAAAAAATGTGTATAACCATCACCATATTTTGAAAAGAAAAGAATAGTGGTAAATAAATAAGTCGCTCCATACATGCAAATATCTATATAATTCTTTTATATATATATATTTATATTATATAAATATGTTTATTATTATTATCTTATAATATAATACGGCAGTATTTTGCAGTAACGATCCCTTTTTCGGCTCTCAGGGCCGATGTATTTTGATGAATGAGGTATCAAACGAAAGCGTATTGAATGGAGCAGTGACGAATCATAGTAACCACTCGAAATTTCAAGGAAAAAAGTAATGAATGAAAAAAAATTTGTGAATAACTTAAAAAGTATACATATTTTTCTTGTATACATATACAAGTATATACATATGTATATAAACGTTTGACTGAAGGCGGCAAATGCTTGTTATTTTTCTATGACAAAACTACTTAGCTCGCGCTCTTGTCCCGGAACTTAAAAATTAGAATCTATAAAACAATTATATTGCAGTTACAGTTCTTTATGGATGCGAAACTTGGCCGCTTACATTAAGGAATGAGCAGCGTCTTAAGGTTTTTGAAAATAAAGTATTGCGTAGAATATTCGGACCGAAGAAGGATTTCAGTTAACCGGAGAGTTCAGACGGTTACACAACGCCGAATTGCGTGAACTGTATCTGGGTAATATAATTGAGATAATTTCATCGCGGCGAATCAAATGGGCTTGTAAAGTTGTTGAGCTTAGTAATGAGAGAATTCCTAAAAGGTTAATATTTGCTGTGCCGAATGGTAAGCGTCCGAGGGGTAGACCGAAGCGAAGGTGGGAAGATTGCATTAAAGCTGATCTGAAGGGACTGGGTTTGGACGGCGAACGGTGGAGGGAGGAGTGTAATAAGCGATTGGTGGTGTCGGCATCGAACCTTCGGGTTCGCTAAGCCTTTTATTATTATTATTATTATTATAATAATTTATTATTATTATATATATATATATATATATATATATATATATATATATATATATATCGAAATCGGACCATTATGAGCAAAGATATAGACTACAGTAAATTGTACAAATGTTCTGGTTTATTTGTTATTATGAATTAACTATTTTAATTCGACCAAGTAAAGGAAAATTAATTCTTCCAACTCATAATATATTGCATTAACATATTTCCATACTATTCTATCAGCTGTTTTCTGACTAATATTGAATGCGAATTATTCGCACGGTCCAGCTACAAAAAGCTGTGTCAACGGAAGAATTTAGACGGTTACACAACGCCGAATTGCATGAAGTTTATCCGATATAACTGAGATGATTGAGATGAATAATACGGAGTTGTAAAATTTTTGGGCTTGGTAACGAAAGAATCCTTAAAAGGATAAGATGCGCTGTGCAGACTGGTAAACTTCCGGAGGTGAGTAGGATAGACTCAATCAGACCAAAGCTGCATTTAAACAGGTAACGGCATCGAACATTCGGGTTTACTAAGCTTTTTGTAATATATATATATATATTTTTTTTTTTTTCTTATTTGCGTAAATGAAAAAACTTGGAATGCCATTAAGCCATCGGGTAGTGTATTCCACTGCAGTCTGAACTACTATTGGAACTTAACTTGATGCTCTAGTAAACAAAGGACCCAAAAATGTATCTATGTCCCTATTATTTTTGTTTTGTTGTCAACCTGCTCCGAAATCCTTACCTTTTTCGGACGATGTTGCAGTTAAACACGCCCACATTCTCCCCTCCCTTATTTAATTTATTAGCTGGGATTGCATACTAAACTAAACAAAAGAGCAGATTACGCAGGAGTGAAATAAATTTATGTTTTTATATATCGACAGGAGGTGGGGTCCCTTCCTCATTCCTCGAGGAGAGGGCAAGGACGAACCGGCTGGCTGCCTGTCCTGGCGCCGTTCCAACTCCTCCACAGTCATAAAAATAGCACTACTCCTTTTATTGGCCCTTTTCGGCGATGTCGGCTCCAACGATAAGCGCCAATTTAATGAGATATGCCTGCCTGCTATGGATTCTGATCAACGCAAAACAGCCCTGTAAACCCCATGGAAGGAAGGCAGCTGGCATTTTTTTTTTTAAGTATACAATAAAGTCCCCGTTAAGGACTTATAAAGGAAGGTGATAGTGGTCAGTTACTTGATTATGAAGGAATTATATATAACTGGTATAAAATTGTAGATGAAGATATCTAAAGATTTGAAATAATAATAATAATAATAATAATCAATTCTCTCTGCAAGAATTATTTTCACATGTTTGACACATAAGCAATGGTGGAACCATTTAAGAGGAGAGCTTTCGGGGTGAAGCCCTCCACCCAAAATGTAGAATCAATTTTTTTTTATTGGACCATATTTATTTATTTTAATGATCGGTACAAAATACTTGAAACAATCAAATTATGTACTTTTTAAAATTATAATGGATATATTTCTAACTACTAAAAGTGAGAATGCGTCAAGAAAAAATACAACACATTTGTCCTTAAAAGCATTATTGCTTCGTTTTTTATTTAACGCCATAAAAAAAACAAAAAAAAAAAAAAAAACACCCTCTTACAAAATTACTGTGTACTTCATTTTGTAAAGTACTCCATTAATTTTTTTTTTTTTAGAAAATTATTATAAGTTTTTCGAAACTAAAACTGAAGTTATTTTACTTAAATGCAGGTTTTTGCTAGAAAAAACAACGCAACAATTAAACTAACTCCAAATCAATTTAAAAGGATATTGAACCTTCCCTTGTTTTTGGCATATCAGTGATAAATATTGCTAATTATTATATTGCCCTATAATTAATCATACAATATAAATTTCAAATTTGTTACTTTTCGACCACCAAATGAGCAAAAATAGATAAATTTTATAAGAAAAGAAAGTTTTTTTAAATGAATTAATTAATTTTAAAAAAATCAAAATAAAACAATAGTTATAATTAAAAAATGAATTTTATTGAGGGAAAGGGAATTGGATTATTATCATTTACCACCGAGATACTGAGTGCGGTAAATGAACTTTAATACCACACAACCCTCAAATAATCTTAATACTCAAACAAAATGGCGTTTAGCATCGTTTAGAAAGAAATTGAGTTATATTTACTACATTAGAAAAGATATCTTCACTAAATGCGGTTGCAGGTTAAGATTCAATAAATCTAACGGCGTTGGATCATATCAACAATAGAAGAAAGAGCGGAACAAGATTCCAAGTAACGATAGAAGATGTTATGGAATAGTTAAGCTATTCTAATAAATCTAGATTACAATCGAGTTCACCACCATGGTTAAGTTAGTGATGCAATTTCATACTTCGATTTATTCCAAATGGTTTAAGGCTTTGTTAGAAAATAACAGTAACGATACTGGTAATTGCTTGTTGCAATGTTTTCAAACTTAATTATAAACATTACTTCATAATAATGAAAGGCTTAGCGAACCCGAAGGTTTGATGCCAACACCACCAAGGGCTCTCAGGAGTGCCCTTTTCTGGGCACACCAGATGGCTCTCTGCTAACCTACCTCCACTGGTCGCCGTCTAAACCCAGCCACGCCAGATATTTGAAGTATTTGAAGATGATGATCCAATGCTACGAGGTTTGAATTTTCACAAAGATGTCGAACACAAATGTTAAATTAAATTATTCCTAAGAATTTCATTGAGATTCAATCAAAGGTTTATTAATTTCAGGGGTTCCTATTTCAGCGACAGTCAGGTGTATTCATTTTGTGCAAGTCCAAGGTTTCTCCGCCGCCATTGATATTTTAACAGACTGAATATAAATAAAATTAATTTTGATAAATGAATACGGAATGTGACCAGGTCTCATAAATTTAGCTTATACAATAATTTATTACTTTTAATGCGGTTGAAAAACAGTTGTAGCTTTCAGCACACAGGATTATAGTATTATTTATTGTTTTGTTTTTGTTCTATTAAAAATACAATGAACTGACAACGTAATTATTTTAAATAATGATAGGTTTAGAATCTTGAATGGAACAGGAAACAAGGGGTGAGAATCCTGAGAGAATACGTAATTTTCTAAAATCACTAGCACAGTTACACACTTAAGTGTTATTAGGCTGAGATGGATTTTAAAAAACAAAAAAAAAGAAACCCTTGTCTTGAAGTAACAATTGCAAAAGTTTTTTTCCCTTTAAATTTAGTGTAATTCAAAAACAAACAAAAAGCTCCTTCTTTACTTATCTCGCTTTTACGGTCCGTGTAACATTCTTGTTTTTTGTGACTCTTCGCAGATGAGTCAGAATTCTGCTGATTCGTTCCGGATTTGGAGGACACAGGTTTTTAGTTATTTATCTCAAGGCTGTGATATTTAATTAAGCCAACATTTGCTAAACTTGTTTTCCCCGCATTCGAAAGAAAAACCTATTGTTACAATTTATTCAGTTCGGGGGTTGCGTGAACGACTCAAACATGAAAAAAAAAATTGTTCTTTAGTATGAATACAACGTGCCATCACAAGTTATATGTAGTTTTTATGGCAACTTGAGGAAGAGGTTTTATACCAGAAATTTTATTTATTATTATTAATATTTATGTTATCAAAAAATGAATTAGGCATGAATTAATTTTATTGCTTGCTTTACTTGGTTGACTTAATTATATTATTCTGAATGCATTTCTTATTATTGTATTAATCATTTATCAATACTTAAGTTAAAAATGATATTGTCATTGAAGAGAGATATTAATATCCAAATCGTCCTTATGATAAGAGATTATGTACACATCAGAAAGTGCTTATGCACCAATGTTATGTTTCTTGCATTAAGTGGAGTCTTCAGAAGCTATTCTTCTACCGCTTTTTTGATTTAAAATTTTCATTGAAAGTATTCTAGTTTATTAGTGTAATTCCACAAACTGTGGGCTATAAATAGAAGTTCTTTTTTTCTATACATTTATCCAATTATGTCTCACATCTCAATTCCATGATTTCCATTGAAGATTATAAAATCTAAATCACAGACAAGTTTTAACAGTTGATTACATCAGTAAATTAATCCTCGGAAATTAAACTATGTGCTCTAGCGCGATAAGGACATTTTTAAACTAATTTATAAAACTAGGAGGATATTTGCTGAAGGATGTTGAAAATGATTTGCAGTCTTCAAGGTCTTTCATTAATTGAGGGAATTTCTCGCACTGAAGGGAAAACTTAATGCAGAAATATACCTAAAGGTTCGAAGCTTTCTGAGCTATTATAATAATTAGCAATATTTTTACTCACGGCATTAAGGTTTAATAAATTGCATAAATCCAGAGATTTTTTTGCTGAAGAAAGGATGGTGCCGAGTGTCCTTGCTAAGGTGAGCCGTGACCTCCCGTCCTCGGCTATGGCTTACGTCACGAATCTTCGACCAATGGGAGCCTTTCTTTCATGACCTCACCCTTTTTCGCTTACCATACTTCAACGTATTTACCTCTCTAACCCCCACTATTACTGGGATGTGGGATCTTCAAAAAGTCAATATCTTTGTTAGGAAACATCCATTAATTAGGAAGTGAGCAGAGATCAATAGTTCGATTTAATAGTTGTGATTTGATACATATGCGATTACCATAAAATTCTTACTTTACTACTTTATAGCTGTCATTACCTACTTTTGACTCTGACATTGAAACAAAAAGTTAAAATTTGAAATATTGTATGCGTATTACTTCGACATGTTTTAAAATCTGTGTAAGATAATAACAATAAAGTTCAATAGAATAGCAAAAATATAGTTGCTTATTTACTAACTGAACCACAAGATCCTAAGAAAAAAATTATGATATCATAGAACAGGCATAATCTAAGGAATCAGGGAATAGGTCGTTAATCGTCATGTCCTGTTATTTTTTCCGGCTACTCGGAGATACAAGAGGTAATGTGTCTTTTGATTAATGCCACAGTCGTCTTTCTGATTAGTTCTACCGGACAAACAACTTAAAGAGGAGTTATAAATAGACTATACACAGTGTTTTTTCGTCAAGTGAAACTAAAGCTAAGCGTTTTAAAATCTATAAATAGCTTTAATATCTGTTGAAGGAACTGTTGTTTTAAGCTATTATTGAAAAAAATCTTTTAAGGAGTTGTTAATTTGGTTTATTTAAAAAAAAAAATTACATGCACCTGTATTATGAATTTTCAGTCAATAACCCTTATAGACAGCGTGAATTTTTATAAATAATTTTTTTTTTTAATTTATTGAATAATAAATACCGCAAATAATGACAGTTAAATAATAGGAATAAAAATAGTAAACAGGAAAAAAAACTTAATAATTAAAAGAGAAAAAAAATGAAACAGTATAGTAGTAACATAATTTAAGAAAACTATTCATTTTATCTTTTCTATATTTTTTAAACCAGAATAAAAAAAGATACTAAATTACTGTTTTGAAACTTACAAAAAAACATTAAATATTAAAGAAATGTGAAACAATATATGTAGTGATAACAATATAATTTATATGCTACATGAGAAAGTTATTTCTTTTCTCTTTCCTATTATACTCAAAACATGTTAATATTTTGAAACATTAACATAACAAAAAAAAACATCAAATGTTAAATTAAATCAATCCGTTCTTCTTTCGGTATATTGTGATGAGATTAATTATATATTTTGAAATGAAAAAAATAATGAGATTCACCATTGAACGGATAAACATAGTCGGATATTGGAATTATTTCAAGCGAAATTGCGCAGTTGCAAATCTACCTAGCAATTGCCTGGAGCGATGAGCGGATGTGAGCTTGCAATAAAACCAACGAAACCGGCTTTCAGAGTTCGGTACTGTTAGCCCGACCAAGCCGGGTACCTTCCCGTCGTCGACCTGCAACTCTATTCACATTTATTCCAGTTGGATAAATAATGTATGCATTATATTACAAACTTTAAAGATTGAGATTCGTCTATATTTGACATTATAGAAAGTTTCAAAACTCAGAAATAATTTATTACAGCTGAATATTAATACTTGTTGAGAACGACCCCCACTTCGCTAATAAAAAAGGATAACTTACAATGAAATA